AAAAAAAAAAAACTGACTAAAAGTGGTCAGTTTGAAAATCGTTTTAAAGCGGAGTTTATTTAAAAAGTCCTCACCTTCAAACTAGCACTGGCGTTTTCTTAAATAAAAACATGGAGATATACATCATGTTTTTTATATCCGGTTCATACTCCCCTACTGTGCATATAGTTCGCCCCCTATGAAACGGCCACCCTGGGGGAAATAGATAGTGGCCGCTTTAAGGGGGCTGGCCGCTTAGTAGAGGTGAAAACAATAAAAAAGCCCCCATCGGGAATTTGATAACTGGCCGCTTAATAGGGGTGGCCGTTCAAAAGATGGCTGCTTATTAGGGGTTTGACTGTAGTTTTGATTGTTTTACTAGTAAACCGCATGGAAAAAAAATTATTTTAACGGTTTATTGCTTCGATGAACCATTTACAAGCTCATAAGCTCCTTGCTTTTGATTGGAGATCTCTCCGGCGGTTTTTTTCAACATCCCACTTGTTCTATTGAAAGTGTAGATAATATTGTTTCCAATATTTAGTTATAAATTCATCCATTTATTCATCCTGTATTTATCAAAATGAATATAAATGAACAGAACTGAAAATAGCTCTAGCTGTCACCGCACAAACGATCTTTTTTCTACATGATATATGCATCAATAATGGATTCTCCGATAGGATTTCCCGTTCTTACCGATTACAACAGCTACATATCCACATACTTACACCCGCTTTCAGTGCTCAGTTTCAAAGACCGGCTGAAAGACCGTTTTACTGTGAAACTGGCAATTTTTCCGGTTATTAGCGGAACAAATGACAATTAAATGACAATTACTGACCTCAAATTAATGAACTTGAAGGAGATTGTGGACTTTGTTAGTCTGGTCGCTCGGCTCTCAATGGCGACTTCCGGTAGAATTCGGCCGCTGCCACTCAGTTAATATTCGAAAGATGTAAACATTCAAAACAGTCAATTTATCTATTTATTGATTGATTGATTGATTGATACTCCTAGCCTCAGTTTGATGTCAAATAAATCCATCTTTCATGACATAAAAGTCGAGTTCGACCATAAAGAAGTCAGTTGTGCTTACATTTTTGACGTAGGCCAGGTTACATAGCATGTCGAGCTATGCACTTAACACTCAAAACGGGTGAAAGACAGTGGTTAGTGGCAAGAAGTTCTAAGATCAAGAACACAGTACAAGGATTCCCTTCACACTCGATTAGGAAAAACGTAATAAGCACGCGCGAGTTTTGGCCTCGTGTCAGGCGTCCCATTGCAGCCCACATTATAACCTGAACCCGCAAGTAGGGCTAGGGAGAGACAGAAAGCTGCCCAGTATGTTCTTCAGATCTGAAATCAACTTCAGGATGATCAATCGACTCTCGAAGCTGAAGGGGTTTCCTAGGGATTATGGGTTAATTTCTTTCTGTTCTCTTGTATATTGCATTGTAGTTATGTGTAATTTGATAGTTTGCACTAAGTATACTACATTAAAACAGGAATTACAGACGTTTGTTTAAAAATTGAGTAAATGTAGTCAAGAGATGACATAGTCGACGTCAACGTCTTGCTAGAATATACAAGTCAGTGACAAAAAACGGCACTTTTATCGACTATATTACAGTCGTTTACTTGATAACTTCTTGGAGATTATTTATTCTTTCAAAGATACCAGTGCAGCTATATACTAATAATCTACAATTATGTAAACTGTGTTGTTTTGCTTGTCTTGATCTTGGATCGTAACAATGGTGCAGTTGTTCGTCACTGAAAACATAGATTAAAAAGTCTCTTTTCTCACCTAATAACCGTCCTAGAAAAGTTTACATTCAATTAAACAAAAATCACCATCGACACTGATCTTGCGCACTCCTTGTGTAACTCAGTTGACCGGTGCATTCCACGTGAACGGAGGTCCTGGAAGCTCATTCTCGTTGCTATAAACAGCACATTTCTTGAATTCACAAGGCTTTGTGTACCACGCGTACCTCAATCCTTTCAGAACATGCTGAGCAGGGCATTCTCCAGTCAAACCTACAGAGTTGAAGTCTCGCGAGAGAATCTTGGCCTGTGTGATCATGGATTGTGTCTCGTGTTCAAGCGATGTGCAGTAGTACTGTAGACAACAAAAGGAGTTGGCGGTAAAACACGCACCTAATTTTAACGGCACAAGATATATATGTTTTCTTACTTTCCAGATGGTTAATTACAGTCACTGAAAACTGATGGTCAAGCATTCCTCCTAATACCGTGGAACCCCGTTAACAGATACAGTCACCAACGGGCCATGAAAATGTGATCGTATGAACGGGGTAGCCGTATTAACGGGGTAGGGTCAAACCTCACGACTGGTGTAAATTGAGTGATTTCTTAACAGATACATCACACATGATCACAATTATAGCACTTCTAAACATAGTAAGCGTCCGGAATGCAGATAAAATTTAACAAAAATTGAAACTTGAATCAATGTATGAAATATTAACAATGAAAAGATGAACATAACTGGTTCGAGTGGCCGTATAAACGGGGAAAAATTATAAAGGATTATACAGGTTGAGATTTCAGAATTTGGCCGTTGGCCGCATTAACGGGGTTTTCTTACAAGGAAATGTATGGGCTTTTTGCCGAGACCAAAGAGTGGCCGTAATAACGAGGTGACCTGAGGCGGGGTTCCACTGCAACAGCGATGAAGTAATGAATTCAGCTTCGTACATTGTTTCAAACGTCTATTCCTCAACTGAAAAGTTACTGATCTGACCTTCTTTGTAAGAAAAGATCACTAATAATCGTTGGACTACAAGAGAAAGCAAACAAACAAGTTACTAATCACTCAACAAGAGACTCCTCGGAAATGTAGCCTCATTCTTAGATGATCCGATGTTGCTGACCACTTTCATAAGAAGAGCTGACCAACTTGCACCACCCTGGGGCGGACTACGGGGCTCGGGGGGGTTTCGTTGAGCCCCTAAATTAAAAAAATGAGACTACAACACGCTGACTTGGCCTCGGAATGTCAGAAATCCCATTCAGAGGACCTCAGTTTCAAAGTTTTTCTGGACCCCCCTACAGGGACCCCCTGCAGCGGTCTGTATCTCGAACGCCCTTCTCTAAAATCATGAATCCGGCCGCCCCAGCCACCTCAGAATCAGACTACATGTACCTGGAATACAGAACTTTGCAAATAAACTGCACCTCAAATCCGTGTCCTGATCTCAGTTGAATGCCTCCTTTACCTACACTCTCATGCTGATATTTCACAGTAGTGTTCCAAGTTGTTGTATTAGCCACCGAAGTAAATATGACATCAGAAACAATTGGCCCAGAATAATATACATCAATGTCTCCATAAGCAACTGCTCGTCCAGCAAGCGCCAAACGGAAACCGACATCTTGTTTATCATTTGGGTGAATACTGCCATATGGCGCTGATGCATTTCCCAAATCCATGGCAACAGCCATAAACACATTTTGTTCTCGGAGGTTAGGAACATAACCATAGTTGGCTGTCTGAGCCCAGCGAATAACAGGAAACCCATCTGCAACAACTGAATCATTTCCAGTGGCAGACAACTGAACAAAAACAAAATACACAACACTAAATAAACCAAATTCATTCATGTGCTGAATGAATGAAATGGTGTCCAATGAATGCAATGGTTCCACACTGAAAGTCAATTCTTACATTTTCTTTTTGAGAATCAGGCACAACTTTCCTTAATATTCAACTTTTCACAACCAACACACTTATCAGAATAGCCATTACTTCTTGAGTTGATGAATCAATGATGCTGGCCCCAGTAGCTCTAAGGCTCGATAGCGCTATCCACCGGATACATCGCTATCCAGTGGATGAGTGATAACAAAACGAACCACGCTAGAATCCACTGGATACTGATTTATTGGGTGGATAGCCTTATCTACCTTTTGAAGAACCTGAACAGGTCATGTAATGGCTTCAGCCTTTGGTTGCCATTTCTGGACTTTCACAGGAATTTAATCGTCATCGCCTGTTGTTCACACCATTTAGTGGTGTTACATCATAGCAAAATCGCACGTTCTGCCTGACTTGTTGACTCGCTTATCGACTTTTTCCAGTTCAACTGCTGTTGTATCTAATTATCAGGTAATCTTGCATGTATTTTTTGAATGTATTGCAAAGTGTTTTGAAGCAATAATGCAGACCAATAATTTAAAGAAAACAACATATTATGTTCAAGAGACTGACTAATGATTAATTGGTAACAGGACATTGTGCCTTTCAAATTTTGGCCTGTAATTTGGCCTGCAATCATATTCATGATTAACAAATTTGCGGTCGTCCGATTTTGTTACCGGTAATCACCTGTATGATTAGAGACCAAATTGGACTCCACTCAGTCCTATTACTATTATCAATCAATACATAATAAATGACTAAAACACCAGCTCAGTCCCAGCCTAAACCCCTCGCCCTCTATACTCATCAGCCTAGTGAGAATAACTTGTACTTTGTACCTGTACAAATCCAAAAGGATAGTCAGGTGCTGTGAGTTCATCTGTGCCATGAAACCACTTGGATCGCCAATCATCAATCATGGCTGGAAATGTACAGTTGTATGTATATGGTTCATGAGAATTAGCTTCCCCTTGATACCAAATTGCACCATATATGGTCATGTTAAGGAGAGGATGGATCATAGCATTGTACAATACAGAGTGTTCATTAGGGCTGAAGAACTTCTCCTCTTCAGGTGACAAGTACCTCAACACAAAATACATACTAATTAACAAATACACTAGATTAAGTATGTACTAAATAAATATTGCCAGGGGTGCATCCAGGATTTTTCAAGGGGTTGGCAGGTACCTTAGGGTTCCAGAATCAATGAGGCAACCCCCAAAATGATTGGAAATCATGTCACTAGAAATAATGGCAATGCCACAAAGTAGAAATAACCATGAGGTACCTGTCCAGCAAGTTTGCCTTTATTTCTGCCATAATATTCACAGCCTTTTTCAAATTTTTTTAGTGTTTTGCTTCTCTAAAAGGGGGTGGCTAGCCACCCAATCCACCCCCCCCCCCCCCCCCCCCCCCCTGTACGACCCTCTATGAAGCAGTGGACAAAAGCAAAGTTTTTATTATTTTATAGTCTTGGGTATAATTATTAGCCTTTCGAGTCAAGAACTGAAATAAGAGTGACATATTTTACAGACTCGCCCTGAGAGAAAAAGTGAAATTCTTCTGCCAAAAAGTAATTGTTGTAGGTAAAGTATAACTAGTTTTATATATGGGTTTTACAGTAACATATGTGGACCAGGTCTTGAAGAAGCTTAAAGAGGTCAATTATGGCTCACTTGCAACTGTTGTTGGTCGATATTATGCAATGGACCGTGACAAACGGTGGGAAAGGATAAAGATTGCCTATGAGGCATTAGCTCAAGGAAAGGGTGAAGTTACTACACCAGACAAAGTTATTGAGGTAGGTACATTTTATGATACAGATTTGATTTGTTTGGCACACAGTGTTGTGCCTATGTTACTTTTAAGTTGGTAGTTCCTTACCCAATAATAAAAAAAAATGTATAAATATTGAATATTCCTGAACTTTATTATTAATTAAGAAATAGAAAACATGTACCATGGCTTGGGAGAATGAGAAATGCTGTGGAAACACAGTTCGACAGGTGAGTGTTTCCACAGCTTTTTTAAATTCTCCCAAACTTTCACTCGTTTCTACAATTTGTATAAATCAAAAGAAACACAGAGAACATGTTTTCTATTTCTTTTAGAAAATTCTGCAACTGAAAAAAGAAAAACAACTTGTTTACATTGATCATCGAAATGTAAATTCTCTTTGCTGGGTGCCATCATTGCATCAACAGCTTGTACATGATTTTAAATTGATCAGCATGCATATTTTCTTTGGTCTATTTTCTAAAAAAAAAAGGTATTTTTATTTTGCTCTCTTGAAAGAGTTTGAGATCCTTCTGTTTAACTTGTTTTTATGTTTTGGTATTTATCAGGTGATCAAAGGTCGATATGAAGCTAAGGGAGACAAACATGAGACAGACGAATTTCTTAAACCTATTATTGTAGATCCAGAAGGAAGAATCAAAGGTTTGTGCTAAACATTAACAGTTATCAGGCTGTAGCATTTTGTACATACAGAGAGTTGTCCGCCATTTAACTGTTAGTAAATGCAATTGCAGTATTGAATGAATATGTTATTTGGTGGCCTCGGGCAGCATTTTCAGGACCTCGGTCACAGTCATTCGCTATATGGACCGACCCTAAAGTAGTAATATGTTATTTATTTTTCCTCTCTCTTGACTGTTGACCTTTTTCACACACACATTACGTGCCCGTTACGGTGACTGGCCGGAGATACATCTGTACATGTAGGAAAATCGAGGCCGTGCTAAAAACCAATCAGATTGCAGGATTCATTTGCTGACAATGCCCTCTTGGAAAAAATAAATAAAATAATATAACATCTTTTGGTAGGGAACTGCTTTTTTGTGAACAAAACAGTAACTTTAATTTATAACATTTTATTTTACAGTGATAATTTAATAATAATATTGAAATTATAATAATAAGTTTTCCATTTCCACAGATGGAGATGTTCTTTGCTTTATCGACTTCCGAGCTGACAGAATGAGACAAATCAATGAAGCTTTTGGAATAAAACCACCCTTTGAGACAGACGTCATTCCTAAAGATCTTGTAAGTATCTATAAACACTGTGACAAATAATACAAAACATCAAGTCATTTACAGATGAGAGCCCAATATATTTCGTGCAGAACATAAAGATGGATTACACATGTCCATGTATTACAAACCAGACAAAGGTTATAAACTGTAGGCTTAGCTTGCACAAAATGACATGAGGATATCTGCTTCATCTGATTTTTCTTCAGTAGCTTCCCACCAATTGATTTACCTACTTGTTACAAAGACAACCTTTTTATTTTTTTTCTTTTATGCTTAATGGTAATGCTTAATGGTAACTGAAGTGATATTTTAAAAATAAATACATGTTCTGTTTTTCAGCATCAGATAACCATGACACAGTACAAGAAGGAATTTCCCTTCCCTGTTTTGTTTCCTCCTGTCACCCCAAAGAATGTGCTCGCAGAATGGCTATCTGTTAAGAGTGTTCCTCAGTTTCACTGTGCTGGTAGGTGTGGCCTTGAAAAACGACTTCATCAGTACTAAATTACAATCATTTACATCATTCTGTACTACAGGATTCACAGAATAATAAAGCTTTTTCACAAGCAAACTGTCACAGATCAATATGTTTTAATTTACCACTTGCAAAACATATTTAAGTAGTTAGAGCTGTTTTCAGTTGAGTGTCGAAAGAAATTAGGCAATTACTTTGGTTTTGGTTTTGGTTTTTACTACAGTTTGAGATTGGCTGAGTAGTCTAATTGGGTAAGTAATTGGTTTGGTTTTGGTCTTTCAACACTCTATTGAAAACTGCTCTATACATGATTAGTTATATAATTATGTGCACACATGTAAAATTATGATGCCTGCATAAGCTTGATTGCTGTCCTTGAAGGCAGCAGGAAATCCTTCAGAATGTCATGAATGCATTATTTTTCTGATAAATGACAGTCGCTGTAATTTTTATTTCATGCAGAAACTGAGAAGTATGCCCATGTGACCTTCTTTTTCAATGGTGGAGTGGAGAAGCAGTTTGAGGGTGAAACTAGATTCATGGTGCCATCGCCTAAAGTAGCGACATATGACCTGAAGCCTGAGATGAGTGCTGCAGGTGTCGGTGAAGAGGTAAAGTGAAAAGTGTTGTTCTAGTTTTTTTGTTCATATTACTTCACAAATTAATACTATCTATAAAACAATAAGTATAGTACTCTCTCATCAGTCAATAATAAAACGACAACAATTATGAATACATGTGTGCACATTGTCACTGTTGAATAAACTACATGTATCATTATCACATTTATAAAGTTAACCTCTGATAGCAGGCACACCTTTATAATTACACTATTAATGGTTGGAAATACATTTTGGATCACATTTTGATAAAGATACAACCCATTTGCAGTGTGGCATAAAATTATGCAATTTAGAGCTAGGGTCAATTTCTGTAAACCAACTCTCATACCCTTTATTGTATCTGCCCTGACTTTAAAAAAAAATGAACATACAGTGTATTGGTGTCTGGAGAAAATTCAGAAATTGGAGTTGACAAGGTTTTCTTTGGGCAGGGAAGGCATCAAATTTTCCCTTCTAATTACATTGTGACCTCTTAAGATGATTCAGAGTCTTATACACTAACCGCTTGGCCACTGTGCCTGAAACTTGTTCTGTATTAATTAACAGGTCTGTAAAGCCGTAAGAAGTGGTCAATACCCGTTTGTAATGTGTAACTTTGCTCCGCCTGACATGGTCGGTCACACTGGCAAATATGAGCCTGCAATCAAGGGCTGTGAAGCAACAGGTAAGTTACTAAGCCTACCCTGCACATAAAGTCTGTGTCAGTCCAACTCTCCTTTGCCATTGGAGCCTTTCCCAGAATCAGTAGCATGAAGGAAATAGGAATACTTCTCCCCCTCTGGATGTAAATAATGGTACATGCATACTCCCCCTTCAGCATTACATTTACTGGTATCCCCCTGGGTGGAGAGGCACTGTGAGAATAAAGTGTCTTGCCTAAAAACACAACACAATAACCCTGGCCAGGGCTCAAAGCCAGACTGCTCTATACAGAGTCCTGCACACTTACCATTTGGCCACCATGTCTGGAACAGTAATCACATTACAGGGCCGTAACCAGGAAAAATTATGACGGAGGCATTGGCAATGTCCAAGGTTAAATTATTTTCCTACACTGTACAGTAGCTCAGCAGTGCTTTATTTTCCCCTTTCAAAAACCACAAGCAACAAAAATGAAGAAAAGCGCCTTGGTTTGCCTCATATCTACTATGACCATGCTTTAAAATTAATGTTGATTAATATTAATAGTGCTTTTAACACTTCACTTCCTTGTGAGGAGACTTGAAGGCATTTTCTTGATAGTGAGACAGTGAGACAGTGCAATGTACCTGTACACTGGCTTGGGAGACATTGCGGAATGTGGAAGTTTGGAGTTTGATTTGATTGAGTCAGACTGACTTACACTTATTTGCTGTTGGTTTCAGATAAAGCAATTGGTGAAGTCTTCAAAGCTTGTGAAGAGACTGGATATGTTCTGATGGTGACAGCAGATCATGGCAATGCTGAACAGATGTTCAGTGAGCAAGGTGGTCCTCATACAGCACACACCACTAACAGAGGTAACTGATTACCTTAACCTTGGTTCTCTTCACCAGCAATAGAGTTCAAGGTTCAAGGTTTCTATTGTCGTTTATATAATTGTGTAGTTAGCAAGGTTGGGCCCAAACCAAAGATAACTTTAGTTTAACTGAAAAGGAGGTCTATAAAATTTCTTTAACTTACACAGTTAGTTATGGTGAAGAGATAAATCAGTGTGCTGAACTGTTCATGACGAAGTCACAAGGGTTAGCCCAGGTGGCTTATCTTGCCAGTGCTTGACTCTGCTTACTGTACTGTGAAGCGGCTAGGAGTATTGCTACAGGCCATTCCCCTGAAGGTTTGTCAGTCAGCGCAGTTCTGGCAATTCGCTGGTACCCATTAAATTATGCTCCTGGATAGTGAGAGGAACTGTGAGAGACTTTATTAATTCTTGCAAGACATTCAAGTGTCTTTCCTGAGAATGTAGAATGGGAAACACATTGACCCTGGACAGCTTGTGAACCCAGACTTAATCCCGAGTCCAACAAGCTTATCAAAAGTGCACCTCAGCTGGTATAGCCACAGCAGTTTTCACGCAATAACATACAGTAAAATATGATAAAGATAAAATAATAAAACTGTTGGTTTTCATTCACGACTTTACGAGTCCATCGGGTTACTGTGACTTGTTTTGTTTCATCTTAGTTCCCTTCATCATGACGGGTGGACTCAAGTTTAAGGAAATTACTCACAATGCAGCGCTTTGTGATGTGGCAACTACTGTGTTAGATGTCATGGGACTGTCCTGTCCCGAGGAGATGGGTGGACAGTCACTGCTGGCCAAATAGGCAGTGATCATCTTCTCTG